GCCACTCGTGAGTCCCAAACAGTGTCCCAAACCATAGCATATCTTCATTATCTTCTTTCCGGTGAGAGTGGCGTTCAGTTGCGGTCTTGCGATCAAACCATTCACTCCGAGTCCCAGTCGTCCGAAACGGTTGGCACCGAAGCCGTAGACCCGGTCTTCGGCGGTAATGGCTATCACTTCTTCCCCGTTATCACCGAAAACAGCCAATAATCTGATCTTTGGTTTGTTGTCATCTCCGGTGACCACCGGTTGTGGACACAAATCGGAAAACTTTCGCAAAATATTTAAACTATCCATTCATTCAATGATTTATTTATAAATTGTTTTGTTTTCAAAACTGAACACAAAATGCAATGAAAAATATTTTGAAATACAATACAAAACACTAACCAATCGTATAATGCCTTAAAACACGTGTTCTCTATGAAAGTAGTGTTGGTATCCAATGGCAATCATTCTTATGGTAGTATTAAAAACAATTGTTGCCATTAATAATAGGTTTTCAATATATTATTTCAACGAAAAATGTATACCAACTGTACTATACATACAGTCACTTACAACTCGTGATTGCAATGCCCTCTAATGTCCGGAAGTGGCAGTTGTTAACTATGTTATCAAATTAATGGAAATTTAAAGTATCATGGTTATAATGTTCTTATACCATGAAAATTTTATTACTAGTAAAACTAATATTTAATGTATATTTAAAATACAATATCAATTAAATATCATATTTGAAAATATCAATATATTTAATTACCGGTAAAAATAAATTATTAAATCACATTTTAATTGAAAACTTTTTATTATTTTTTATAAATTATAATAAATTATTATTAATTTGTGGCAAATATTATTGGTTTAGAAATGCTTAAGATTTGTGTTATAATTAGTTTTAACCGCTGATCGAGATCTCAGTATAGGATCCGAGTTTGAAACCGGAGGCGCCCTTAACATCGAGGTGACCCTCACGGGTGGCGATCACAGCCTCCCCAGCGTTTCCGCCTTCGGCTAAGACCAATAGACCGGCCGAAGAGTCCTTCGTTGACAACGAATTCATATCTAATTGAATACAAAATTGTTAACTAAAAAGTTTTAAAAGTCTGATTGAGTTTTGCATACATTTCTCATATAAAGGTTCGGTAATTGTCTTCACTTCTTGTTTTTCGTCCACATTTTTGTTACCATTTTTGCCGCCATTAATGTCGGTCACAGCGCCCGCACCCAAGCCGTAGACATTGCTAATCGTCAAAGACTTTTTGCCAGAACTGACGGTCACTTTGAGGGCACCGATGGCTCCGATTCCCTCCACTATAAGGAATCCGTCGTTTGCTTTG